TGGCAGGGAGAAGAACAACTACTCAGAGACCTGAGAGACATGACTGAAAAGTTTTGCAGTCACATGGTTGGACTATCAAAAGGCAACAGAAAAGTGCAGAAAAAAAAAAAAGAAATAATGCCCCCCAAATTCCCAAATTTGATAAAAGACATTTTTTTAGTCTCAAGAAGCCTAAGTGAAGTGGTGCACACCTAGAATGTTAGAGGCACCTTAGGCACCACATTGAAACCTCACTTCAAAAGAAAAAGAAAAAGAGAAAAAAAAAAAACCTCAATGAACTTCAAACAGGATAAACTGAAAAACAGCAGCAGCAGCAAATTTGACAGAGGAGAAGTGTTTGGTTGACATGGTCTTTCAACACGTCTGTTTTAGAAAATACATGCTATATTATGCTCTGAAAGTAGTAGTGTTGTCACTACTTAAATACCCACTAATTGAATTACAGAATGTGGCCCTCTTTTCTCTTTTACCCCAGATCAGATAAACATGGCCAGTGTCTTGCACACTTAGGTGTATGGAAAATAATTATGTTATTTATCACTTAATTTTTTTTTCCAGAAAAACCATCACTATCATCTTCTACCAGTCACTTGGATAGTTACTTAGAAACTAGAAAGCATTTGTCAATTTAAAAGCTTTACTGAACCTTTTGTATCTTCAGCCTTGGGGATTTTGTCACTAAGATTTCCATTTTTCCTTCTGGCAAATTCATCTGAAAATGCCTGGAAATACAAACACAATTTTGACCATTACCATCCAGTTGATGAACGAGTTTGATTTATCAGGGTTTTTCATCTTGCAAGTGTATATACAGATTTAGAAAAAAAAATGTTAAACAATATTATTTATTTCTTTATGGATTTTTAAAGTTATGAAAATAATACATATAATTCCCTTTCTACAAATGTGTGCTATGAAAATTAACAAAGATATGAACACAGATAAAAATACAAGGATATTCATCAGAGTGCTATTCATAATAGAGAAAAAAAATAAGTTAAAATCCAATGGGAGGCTGGGCTCAGTAACACATGCCTGTAATCCCAGTGACTCAGAAGGCTGAGGCAGGAGGATGTGAGTTCAAAGCCAGCCTCAGCAACATAGCTAGTGAATGTATTCTAGTGTTGATGAATATGTGAATTTCATTTCTTTGCAAAATCATCACTTTCTTCCTCCTTGTTAAATAAACAACAGAGACTTTTATTGTGGGGTGGGGATAGAATCCTGGCTGAAGTCTGACACAGTGATGGGAGAGGGATGGGAAGAGACTGCTTAGTGAGGTCTCAGAATCACCAGCCTCCGGGAGTCAGGCAGGTAAAGTACCCCAGTAGAAGTGGACTGATTTGAGTTTGGAGAATTAGAAGACACCTACCACTCAGTCCCAGCAAATTGTTCCAAGCAGCAATTTCATTCTAGCTTATCAAGTCTTTTCAATTTTTAGCTCACATCATTTTTTTGAACATCTGGAGGATCACAAATTCAAAGCCAGCCTCACCAACTTAGTGAGGCCCTAAGCAACCTAGTGAGACCCTGTCTCAAAATAAAAAATAAAAAGGGCCAAGGATGCAGCTCACTAGTTAAGTACCATGGAATTCAATCCCTGGTACCAAAAAAAAAAGAGAGAGAGAGAGAGAGAGAGAGAGAGAAAATGGAACAACAATGCTTATGTAGAATCAATAGCATTTCAAATGACATTGATGCTGTCTGTAGAGACTAAAGCTTGTTAGAGAACATTTGCAGAGTACTCTGAGTGTTTAGGGGGAAAAATGTAGACTGGGATTGCTAGAAAATAGTGAGATATGATGGTTCAGGTCTGTGTCATGAAACTCTCCCATCTCTCCACTCAGTCATTCATTCAATAATGCTCAACACTTCGTGTTCTGATTTAGTTTGCTCTGTGTGTATAGATCCTAGTGCCCAGAGGAAGTATGATTTATAGAGAGCAAAATATGTGCTACATACCTTGTTCCATGACCCACATCACCTCACATGATCTAAGTCACAGGGAAATTATTAAAAAGTCTTGTATTGAGCAAAAGTATCTGTAATTATACAGGCCAAGCAAGTGGACCACCTATTTTTCTCAGGTGACGTAGCTGCCTGATTAAAATGGAGGTTAAGATTTGTTTGCTTCCAAAGAACTTATAGATAGTGTCCAGATTAAAAAATAATAATAATAAAACAAAATACGACCTAAAAATTCAGATCCTCCTTTTATCCATGGACATCTTTTGGCTTCCTGGCTTCAATCTGTTTGTTAAATTCTTGCAAAATCGTGTAACTTCTCAAACATTTACTGTCATCTGCGCTACTAGATTATAAAGACTCAGAGAGCAGGGATGAGGGCTTAAATGTCTATGGTTCTCCCATCATGCCCATGCCAGGGTCTCACCCACAGCTGATATTTACTACATGTGACCTGATTGTCAGACTATGACTGAAGATGGTGCTGGCATTTCTCTCCTGCTCACATGGGGCGGTGCTTACTCTTTCTCATCAACCCTTCACATTACAGTCCATTGCAAATCCAGGAAGCACTTGTGTCCCATCCTGACATTTAACCATGTTAAAACTATGTAAAAATGTAAAAACTATATTTTTATAATATTATTAAAATTTTTATGTCCATGAAAGGAATCCTATAGGTTTCTTAAGGAGTCTTAAGGAGTATGTCAACTGTGCTACAATATGTGAGCCTTATTTGGATTCTGATTCAAAGCTGTGAAGACCAAATAAAACATTTATGAGATGGTTGGAAAATTGAACACTGTCTTTATAACTGATCAAGTAAAGGAATTATTGTCAATTGATTTTAGGTATGAAATAGTATTGTAGTTATGTTATTTTTAAAAAAGAATCCTCATTTAAAATAAATTGATGAATGTTTAGAGAAAAACTATGCTTTGGAATTTCCTTCAAATATTTGACGAAGGGAAATAATATGAGAGAAGGGGAAATAAGTGTAGACAGAGATCAAACATATTGGCCACGGGTTGATAATGGATGTTCCTAAGGGAGTTCCTTAGACTTTTTTTTTTAAATCTACTTTTGCATGTATTTCTAATTTTCATGAATATGTAGTTAAACTTTTTTCTATGTCTGTAATTTTTCTTGACACTTGTCAATGTACAACTAGTCAACATGACTCTCTTACTTTCCCTCTTGGGGGACAACATTAAAGAAACATCCTATTAGACCAAGAAGACATTTGAGATCATGATGCTCCACACAGAGATTGCCAAAATAATCAGGAATAAGACAAGACTGTACCTGAATATTTTCATGATCACTTGGGTGCAGCATAAAATAAACTTTTTGTAGTTTTTTCAGTTGATTTTTGCTACTAAATTTGAGTACTTCTGAAGTGATCAGTTCAGCAAATATTTTTTTAGGAAATCCCAAATTTCCTGTTCCTATTGCTGGAAATGCAATTGATTTTAAGGACAATTTCTCAGTGATCGTCAAACACTCTCTGATGATGTATTCCATGATCTGAAAAGCACAAAGCACATCTTTATATATCTTGAGTTAGACCAAAAGGACGAGAATTTAGCACCTATGGCTGTGATCTCTATCTACTCCGTTTTGCTTTCATCTGAGGTTAAGAGAAATCAGAAGAGGAAAGATAAAATACAGAAGAGGAAAAGGAAATGAGAATGTAAGAGCTCTTCTACAACGATTCAAACTCCATTCACCATGAAGGAAAGAAGAAAAGCAACAATTCATCTTATCCTTCACTGTCTTCCATCTCCTGCCCTCACCTTCCATAAAGTGGTATGATCTCGGGGCTGGGGATGTGGCTCAAGCGGTAGCGTGCTCGCCTGGCATGCGTGCGGCCCGGGTTCGATCCTCAGCACCACATACCAACAAAGATGTTGTGTCCGCCAAGAACTAAAAAATAAATATTAAAAATTCTCTCTCTCTCTCTCCTCTCTCACTCTCTCTTAAAAAAAAAAAAGTAGTATAATCTTCGGTCACTTTTCCTGACCCCCACTAATTACTGAGCATAATAATCAATTTGTATTACTAACTAGTTCCCAGAACAAGTCAGCTATGGCTGAAAGAAATGGCCATAATGATAAAAACCTTCTACCAGAAAGTCACAGTATTACAGAAAAGAAACAGACAGGGTCTACCTTAGAGCACACTGAAAGAAGAGTCCAAGGGGCTACCCTGGTCATAGGGAAAAAAAATATTCAGACTAATAGAAATGAGTTGATTGAATGGATAGTAAAAGGGAAAGGGGATACTCTCAAGGAAAAGGGTGGGTCCTCTCAGAGAGGAGAGGGACAATATGCCTCTCCTAGAGCCGTGTCATAGAATTTTTTTTTAATTTCTTACATACATGACAATAGTGGAGTACATTACATTCATAAATATCCATTCACAGCCATAATTTTTCATAACTCTGTATATAAAGTATGTTCATGCCAAATTATGCCATTATACATGAGCTCTCTTATTTCTTTGCATACAATTCTTAATACACCTTTATACCACAATTTGTCATATCTCTGTATATAAGGTATGTTGGCACCAAATTCACATCTTCATACATGTATTTTGTATAATGATGACCGTCTCCTTCCACCATCCTAGCTATTCCCCTTCTCCCTCCCTTTCCCTCCCACCCCTATTCCCTATCTAGAGGTAAGTTTCCTCCCATGCTCTCCCTCCCTACCCCACTTGCATTTGCAGGGAAATGGATGGCATTAGAGAAGATTATGCTATGCCAAGTTAGCCATCCCCCAAAAAATAAATGCCAAATGTGTCATAGAACATTTTAAAGCAGACCCTACCTTTCGTGAAGATGTGCTGCCATCTTCCCAGTGCGGAGCCACCACGTGAAGCACATGGTAGCAGTGCAGATTGCAACCACTGGTTTGGAGAACTGTGCCCACATTGACACTTACTCCTTGTCCAACTGCATTCAATTCCTCCTGGAGTTTCGGCCCAGCTTCTTTTAAGAGGGCCTGTGAAAGGGGCCCTGCATTGAGCCCAAGATTCAAGGGAACGGAGTTGACAATAACGTCGGTCTTAAAGACAAAACCAAAGATTTGTTTCAAATTCTTACAAAAGACATTCATCCATGGTAAGTATGTGCGAACCCTGGGCTCGGCACAAGGGGGACAACTAAGATGGCTGAGATTTTGAAGACTGAAATACCAACACAGTGTTTTAAGACAGTTATTTAAGTAATACTCGAGGACAAAAGAGAGCTGTCAAAAAAATAATATATAAATGCATAGTTCACTGAAGGGTATTCAGTGATGATGAACATGCCATGGGTGACATGGGACCTAGGAAATGGGAATAGTCACTCTGGGCAGAGAGCAACAGGGAATAGCATGAACTCACTCACAGTGGACTGTGAGCTGTGAGCAGATTCATTTGACCTGATGGAGGTCTTCTGCAGCAAAATGGGGTAAACCAGACGACATCTATTACACTGAGTTGGACAAAGAAAGCCCACCTCCATCCAAGCACCTGGACCCTCTGACAGCGCCATGGAAGATTTTCCACCTGAGCTTTGGTGCAAGCCGATTGATTAATCAGACTACTTTAGAGAGGCCAAGAAAAGAGAGAAGGAAGGTGTCCTTCCCTGTGGGTCACGGAGAAGTAATGCAGCAGTTAGTGGGGCAGCAGAAGCCACACATCTCTGGGAGAGAAAGAATGTCTTCATACTCAGGGTGACGGTGGCAAGAAACAGAGCTCATTCCCATTCCTGATCCATGGTCAAAAGAACATTGTGCTTTTTTCTTTTTTTTTTTTTTAATGGCAATAAAATTACTTTTGATTTTTGAAATAAGACAACAAACAGTCAAGAACTTGAATAAATTCCAATCCTATTTCTACTAACCACTAACTGTGAGACTGAATGGATTACTTAACTCCTCTAAACCTTGATCCCTCATCTGTGAAGGGAATGATCTAATTCTAGAAGCTACTTTATGGCACTGAATGAGAAAAATGCATGTCAAGTACTTAGCAAAATGCCTGGCACAAAGTAACATGCAATTGACGCCTGTGATTCTTACAATTATTACTTAAGCTTATAATAAGCAGAAATATAATATCTTACAGTACACTATTGTAAACTAAAGCAAAAATTTTTTACTTTTTAATTAATAATTAAATTTATTTTAATTATTTTAACAGAGAAAACCTGGTCCACAGAAAAGAAGACATATTTGCAAATCAAACATCTGATAAGGGACCTGTATCCAAAATATATAAAGAATACTTAAAATTCAATAATAAAAAAGCAACCCAATTTAAAAGTGGGCAAAAGATCTAAACATTTCTTCAAAGAGATATACAAATGACCAAAAAGCACATTAAAAAATGTTGAAAATCATTAGTCATTAAGGAAATGTAAATCTAAACCACAGTAAGATACTATTTTATATTCACCGATGGCTACAATAAAAATGATATAGCATGGGTTAGCAAAGATGTGGAGAAACTGGAATTCTCAACCCTGCTGATAGGAATATAAAATGGTACAACCACTTTGGGAAATAATCTAGTAGTTCCTCAAAGTCAAACATGGAATTACTATGTGACCCAGTCATTCCACTCCTAGGTATGAACACAAAAGAAAAAAAAATTATCCATATAAAAATTTGTAAATAAGTGTCCATAAGAACATGACACATAAAATAGTAGAAAGAATCCAAATGTTCATCCAGGGATGAATGGATAAACCAAATACATATCCATACAATGGAATATTATTCAGCCACAAAAGGAATGAAGTACTAATACATGCTACTTCAGGGAAAAACCCTTGAAAACATTCTGCTCAGTGAAAGAAGTCAGTCACTGAAAACCACAAATTATGTTTCCATTTAAATGAAATTTTCAGAGTCACTGAATCTCTAGAAACAGAATGTAAATTAGTAGTTGCCTACAGCTAGAGAGTGGACTGAATGAATTGATGGAATGGGAAGTGCTCCCTAGGGACGCAAGGTTTCTTTTTGGAGTGATAAGAATGTTCCAAAATTAGATTCTGGTTATAATTGCATACCTCTGTGAATATAATGAAGACTATTGACTTGTACACTTTGAATGGGTATGGTACATGAATTATCTCAATAAAGCTGTTTAAACAAAAAAGAGGATGACGGTTATAGCTCAGCAGTAAAGTGCATGCCTAGCATGTGTGAGGCATGGGCTCGATCTTCAGCCCACATAAAAATAGAAAAATAAAACAAAGGTATTGTGTCCATCTACAACTTAAAAAAAAATTTTTTTTAAACTTAAAAAAGAGGGGGGCTGGGGTTGTGGCTCACTAGAGCACTCGCCTAGCATGCACGAGGCACTGGGTTCGATCCTCAGCACCACATAAATGTAAAATAAGGATATTGTGTCCATCTAAAACTTAAGAATAAAAAGTTTTTAAAAAGTTAAAAAAGAGGGTGACTGATCATGACTATTAAACAATTTTCAACTTTTCTCAAGATAAGCTATAGGAATATGCTAAAACAGTAAATATATTCAGGATAAAGCAGTTTTCGTGTGTCATTTTTTTTAATACCTTTATTCTACCTATTTATTTTTCTGTGGTGCTGAGGACCGAACCCAGGGCCTTAAACATGTTAGGCAAGTGCTCTACCTCTGAGCTATAGCCCTAGCCCTAGTATCTCACCTTTTATTATATTACATAGGAGCTTGTTTGAATGGAAGCTTAGAGATATTTTTCTCTTGTAAAAAAAATCCAAAGCAAAACATTTGGTGGATTTATTAAATCTAGTTCATTTAATGTCATGTAAAGTATATCTAACGATGTGTTATTTAAAGATAATGAGAACAAGTGACACCCAGTGGTGATAATTTAGGACTTTGGTCTTGGTCTTTGAACAAAGCATTCAGGCTTGGTTAAAATTTTCACTGTATTGTGATGCCTGTTTTCGGTATATTCTTTTTAGATATTTCCTAGGTATTTTTAGGTATATTCTTTTAGTTTTTTTTTTTTTAGATATTTTCATATGTGTGTGTGTGTATAAATTTGCCTTTAAAAAATTTTTAAGTATATTTTTATGTACATTTTATTTATTTTTTTAAATTTATTTTTATGTGGTGCTGAGGATTGAACCCAGGGCCTCGCACATGTGAGATGAGCCCTCTCCCACTGAGCCACAACTCCAACCCCATAAATTTGCCTTTTAAAAAGTGGAGACACAGGGCTGGGACTGGGCTCAGCAGTAGTGCACTTGCCTGGCATGTGTGAGGCACTAGGTTTGATTCTCAACACCATATATAAATAAAAATAAATAAGATCTATCAACAACTAAGAAAAATATTTTTTAAAAAGTGGAGACACCAAAAAACCTCAGAGCTGTCTGGTGGACATGAATCCCTCTGTCAGCCTTGGCTGCTTCCCTAGACCCCTCTGAAACCTGCAGAAAAAGGTTGGGGCTAATATTCACTGGAAGATACACCCATGGCCACGCTGGCCATGACAACACAAAGAAATGGAACTATTGCTTAGTAAAAAAGGTACTGCCCTGCCCCCAGTGCTTCCACCACCTCCTCCATTCCTTGTCAAGAATTCCTTCCCCAGGACTCCCCTCACCCTCCCATCACCTTCCACTTAAAGATATACAGCCTGGCACAGTAGGAGGCATCTAGATCCTGCTTCAGAAAAATGGCTGCTGTTCTGATTAGTTAGTGCCTGTGTTGCAAAGAATATTAAATAGCTTTAAAATATATATATTAGCCCCCTATCCCCTCCACCCCCACACACCCTCAACCTTCCAGAATTGTTCCTGCATGATACCTGGACCTTGTTCAGGCCCACTTACCCCCTCCTTTCTTACACAGGATCAACAAACTGGTATTGGGTGTCCATGTCTGCTGATGTCAGACTCTGGCCCCAAGTTCACCTTTGCTAGGCTCCATTAGCAAGATTTCTGACCTCCGCATCCCCCATGCTCTAACTGTTGTGGATCTGCTATCAGTACACTTGACAAGAAACTAATCTTAGCTTTACCAAACTATGAAAAGTGTAAAAGCAAAGTAAACGTATCAAAAGTCATCTAAATGTATGATACCACTGATACAAAATAGAAAGACCTGACTCTCCCTCAAAAGGTGCTCTCTTGTTTTTTCTGTGTTTCTCTTTTTTACATTTTAGATTATTATTTTGCTGACAGCCACCACTGTGGAGCACATTCAAGTGGTCACCTTTTCTGTGTACTCAGGCCAGATTGCCACCAAAGACACGCCATGACCCCTCTGGGATACTTTGCCTTTGACTGCCATAGCTTCCAATGCCTGTGTCCATCCCAGACGACTCCTCCCCTCTGCAGCTACTTCAGGTGTCTCTATTCTGGTCCATGAGGAGCTCCTCTCCTCCCCACGACTAAACAGAAAGTGTGCAATTAGCCAGCAGGACCCTGGGTGCATATGGGAGCCCACTGTCTCTGCCTACATAAGCAGTCCTCCCCTCAACCTTGTCAGATCAGTTTCTGTACCACTTCCCCTTAGGCTGCAACATAAGTCCTAATTAAGGCTTCTTTTGGATGGCTTTATCTTGCCTATCTGTGATTTATATCCCAAGTAGAACAGGCTGAGTTGGTTATACCAAGATCTGGTTGAACATAAAAGGCTGCCAGGAAAGTGGCAAGGAGCCAGAGCTAGTAATACTGAAGGCATTAAGAGTCTAGGAGCCAAGCAAGCTCCAGAAAGCTGCTCTGGCTGCTAGGAGAGCTGTTAACACTGAGAGCTAAGAATTTGTGGATTACAAAGTTCAGTGCTGCTAACACCAAGGGAGCTGCACTTTGCCTATTCGCGAATTCTAACTGAAGTGAGCCAAAGAACACCCAGATGATTGGTAACATTACTTTGGATTTTCACATTTACTGGAAACCTAGTGATCTGATCTCAATACACTTTAAGCTCTCAAAAATAACTGGCCAATCTCTTTCACTAAGTGATTTGGTTAAGTAGCCTAATTATCTAAAGGAAACCTGATTCAAGACAGAGATGGAGGGTGTAAGATTCTCTGTCTTGATTCTCCCCCTCAATCCTGGACTTTCTTTGGTCCTCAATGAGAGAGCTATACAATGAGAGCACCTTGGTGGTATGCTATAAATAGGGACACTCACCTTAGCTTTCTGCACACCTTCTCTCTTCAACCGGATCTTTAGGCCCTCCGGGGATATCAGACATAGCTGGTTCTCTGATAATTTAACAGGCTGGACTGCTGCTAGTGCACTGAGCAAGGAAGCTTTATCTGGCAGGGAAACTGTACCAAGTGGGGGGTCTTTAAATACAGTTTTCATGGCTTCGACAAAGGCCTCAGTAGTCTTCTCAGACACATCCATAAGGTAAATCTCTTTCAAGGTGCGCCCATCTGGCTTATATTGGATGTTTTCTTTGATGGCTCGAACAATGGTCTCCACACACCGTTGTAAGGGAAAGCCAAAGATTCCAGAACTAATAGCTGGGAAGGCTATGGATTGGTACTTGTATTCCTCAGCTAAAAGGAGACTGTTTTCTACAGCTTTCCTTAGCAGATGCACACACCATGGAGCGTCATCCTGCTTCCAGTGGGGCCCCACTGCATGGATTACCTGGCGGCAAGGGAGCTTTCCTGCTGTTGAGATTGCAACATTGCCAGGTAGGAGTCTGCCTTCTGTCTTCACTATGTGGTTACAAGCAGTTTGCAGCTCAGGGCCTGCGGCTTTTAAGAGAGCAGCAGCAAGGCCTCCGGAATGCTTGAGGTCCTCGTTTGCTGCATTCACCACCACATCAACAGGAAACTGAGCCAAGTCACCCTGTAGCACAATCAGTCTAACTCCAGGGACCACATCCCTCTGAGACAAGCACTTCTGCCCATCAGGGATGCGTACCACCTTCTGTTCTTCTTCTTCTTGGAGTTCAATGAAACAACCAAACATCCGTCTGACCTCTCCTTTGTAATACCTCACTTTCTCCTGAAAGAACTGCCTGGCCCCTGGCTTATCAATACAGACGTTTTTAATGCAGACCAAATCCCGGACTTGCTTGACAATGTCCATGCCCTCCAGTACGTCCTTCTTGGAGCCAATTAATAAAATGCCTTTTTGTTTGTTCTCATGTTTGAAAACTACCTGCACATTTACCTTCTTTATCTTTGACCAAAATAATTGCTTTTCTGCCTTTAAATAGGCTCTAACCAAGGATGGCTCTACTTGAACTAATCTCTCTATTTTCACATGTTTTTCCAGGAAATCAAAAAGCAAGCTATGGATTTCATTTACTTCTCTCACACAGCCTGCAATGATGACCTCAGCTGGAGTTCCTGAAGTTAACTCATTGACGACCACAATACTTACAGAGGAGCTATGTTTCTTTTGTAAACTTTGAACTATCCCTTTCCACTTCTTGCCATTAAGAACTTCTTTGTCCTCAACCTGAATGTGCTTATAATTTAAGGTACGGAGCATTTGTTTTTCAGCTTCTACCAGGACTGCCAAAGTAAAACTGGTTAAGAGGACAGTTGTACCCTCTAACTTGAAAACTGCAAGAATATTCTGTACTATAAAAAGAGATTTAGAAAATTCTTCACAATCTACCTGCTGCAAAAACTGAAAGACCTCAGGAGAGACCTGAATGTTTTTTTGGGTCATGCTGAACACCTTTTCCTGGATTTCACACTTGACTTTATACACATCTGCACAAGGCCCCTTCAAGAATAGTTTCTGAGTGGCTGCATCATAACAGATCTCCATCTCTCCACACTCCATGCGTAGACGCTGCAGGACACCACTGTGTTCCAAAAGAAAATTCCTTTCTGGAGAAATGGTCATTTTTTCCTTTAGACTTTGCTCTTCCTTTCTAATTTTCTCAGTGGTGCTTTCTATTAATTCCTTGATTTTCAGGTCAATGCTTTGGACATCTTCTGATTTTCCTGCCAAGGTTGCAGTCTCCTTAAGTGAATCAAATTCAATAAAAATCTTATCTTCTTCTAAGTCATTTTTTATGATGTCCCACACTACTGGATCCACTTTAAATGAGGTAAATTCATATTTAGACCTGATGCCGGAGAGTGCTGTGGAAGCGTCTTCCTGCCAGGCCTTGATTCTGTGTCTTCTTTGATTGACTAAAGTGGCTGCAGGTCTGATAGTAACTTTACTGTTGACGTGGGACCACGTTAGCTCACAGTGACAACGTCTCATTTCATTATTTATATCTTCAATTAAGTGATTATTTTTCTGAAAGAACTTCCATAAGGGAAGATCCAGTGACTCTTGGAATGGTGCTGGAAGTTTAATCAGAGGCTTCTCCTTTCCATACAATGCTGTGCCCAAAGAGGTATAGTAGGGAAAGACAAACAGCGGCATCTTATTGAAGTTATGTTTCTTGGCCACGATGGTGTCTAACACTTTAAAAGTAAAAATAAATAAATAAGTACACAAATAAAAATAAGGTAATCCAAATGTGATATATTTCAAATGAAGACAAAACAAAACTTTTCTTTCTTTCTTTTTGCAGTCCTGGGGATTGAACCCCAAGCCTCGTAAATGCTAGGCAAGTACTCTACCACTGAGCTACATCCCAGCCCCTTTAAGAGAAGTTATCTTTACCTAAACTTGTTGAAATTAATTTGAGAATTTATGTGGATGGCTAAAACACAGATCTCTTTTTTTAAATACAATATTTTAAAAGTTCTAAGAATGATAGTTTTTGTTTGTTTTTTAGTTTATATGGACTAAAGACTCATGAGAGAATTTCCTTTTATCTTTCAAAAATTTGACAGAGTTCCTCTCTGAATTACTGGCTTCCTTTAGTTTCATATCTCAGGTGAACTGATGATTGATTCAATTTCCAAAAAAAATATAAATGAATGAATAAGTAAAATGCTTCAGAGTTTAAGTAACTGCTAGGATCTGCTAAAATGGCCTGGGAAATACCAGACGTGGTAGTTAATAGATACTACCTTCTCTGTCACAGAATTCAATCAGAGCTGCACTCTCTTCAGGAAAACATTCAACATGGGCAATGCTTCCCCCTCCATTACGAGGATTTTCAAAGAAAAGTTGTAACTGGTAGTCATCAATACCAGGCGGTAAGTTTTCAACCCTGATTGTTTTTGTTGCTTCCAGAAGTCTTGGAGAGAGCCGAAGTTGTTGAATTGTATGGTGCCTGGTACAATCACCAACAAATGTCATGGCATCTACAATAGGAAAAAAAAATGTCAGAAGATTATTATGTTATATCTATCATATAGAAGAAGTTGGCTATTAGTTGAGATAAGGGGGAGAGCTAAGTCCTCCATTTATAGACAAGATTTTAATAGCTACTGAAAATTTACATGCCTGCAACTGCCCATCTCTGAACAATGATGCATTCATGAATGTCTTACCTGGTTTACTGCTATTAAAATGTGTCCCTGCCTCCAGTCACTGCCCTAGCCAACCTGATTGAGGCTTTCTCTATAATACCATCTCCTTGTTTCACTCATTTCTCAAACCCTTCAATGGCTCCCCATTACCTGCCGGTATGAGTTCACTCTCTTCAGCTCAACTAACAATGCCCTTAGCTTTTAACTCCCAACTAATTTCCAGGCATCACCTTTGGTTATTCTCTGCCATTCATTTTATTTTACATTCTTCTCCCCAAAATAGTCATTCTTTTTAACATTTTCCTTCTCTTTTGCCTTTGTATATATAATATCCTGTGTTTTTGGTTTTGCATTTTATAATGCCGGAGATTGAACCTAGGGTCCTATGCATGCTAGGCAAGTACTCTACCACTGAGTTATACCCCCAGCCCTTTTCTCCAATTTTTCCCCCTTTAAATCTTGATTCTATTCATCCTTCAAGACTCAGCCTAATTATCTCTTTCAAATTGGTAAGTATTCATAGTGGGCCCAAGATATGCCTAGCACCATTCTAGGATCTAAGGCTACAGAGATGACAAGTCCTTGCCAGTTCATCATCCAGGAATTAGGTGGTCTTCAAAGCAAATAAATTGCCTGCAGTGGGATGAAATGAGGGAAGACTAATTCTGGGAATAAAACTTGATTTCCAGAGTAAGTGGTCTCTGTTCTGGTTTTGAAGGATGAAGAGGGAGGTTGACCCGATAGACATGTCAGGCAGAGGGAATAGCAGTGGCACAGAATAGCTTAGTGTATTTTGGACATGAGAGGTACTGTTGGAGTACAGGCTTTATGGGAGGGAGACCAAGCCATCTTGCTGGATTCTCTTTCCTCCCATTTCTCACAGCTCGTTGCCCACAGCTGAGAGATGGCTTTTCCTCTTGCATCTTCATGATTCATTTACATACCGGCTTCCTCCTTGCTCCCATACTGTGAGTTTCTCCCTCCTTGCTCCCATACTGTGAGTTTCTCTTTGTGCCCACAGCACCTAGACCAGTATCCAGTACATAGTAGGTGCTACAGTTTGGACCTGGAATGTCCCCCAATAGCTTGGTGCTATTGAGAAGTAGTGGAAACTTTAAGAGGTGGGACTTTGGGCTGGAGTTGTGGCTCAGTGGTACAGCACTCGCCTAGCATGTGTGAGGCCCTGGGTTCGATTCTCAGCACTGCATATAAATAAATGAATAAAAGAAAGTCCATCAACATTTAAAAAATATATTTTAAAAAAGAGAGATGGGACTTAGTGGAAGTCTTCTGGTCACTGAGGGGAAGGAGGAAGATAGTGGGACCCTGTCCCTTCCTCTTTCTCTATTGACCAGGAGGTGAAAAGTTTGCCATGTGCTATCACACTATGTGCTGCCTCACTCTAGGCCCAAAAGCAACAGAGCCAACCAACCACAGGTTGAAACCTCCAAATATCTGAGCCCAAATCAACCTTTTCTCTCTCTCTCTCTCTCTCT